GAAAAGATATGAAAAGAGATAATCATCATGAAAAGATATGATCATGAAAAGATATGATCATAAAAAGATATGATCATCATGAAAAGATATGATCATCTTGAAAAAATATGATCATCCTGAAAAGATAGGATCATCATGAAAAGATATGATCATCATGAAAAGATATGATCATGACAAGATATGATCATCATGAAAAGATATAATCATCATGAAAAGATATGATCATCATGAAAAGATATTATCATGAAAAGATATGATCATCATGAAAAGATATGATCATGACAAGATATGATCATCATGAAAAGATATAATCATCATGAAAAGATATGATCATCATGAAAAGATATTATCATGAAAAGATATGATCATCATGAAAAGATATTATCATGAAAAGATATGATCATCATGAAAAGATACGATAATGAAAAGATATGATCATCTTGAAAAGATATGATCATCATGAAAATATATGATCATCTTGAAAAGATATGATCATCATGAAAAGATATGATCATCATGAAAATATATGATCATCTTGAAAAGATATGATCATCATGAAAAGATATGATAATCATGAAAAGATATGATCATCGTGAAAAGATATGATTATCATGAAAAGATATGAAAAGAGATAATCATGAAAATATATGATCATCATAAAAAGATATGATCATGAAAATAGATAATTATCATGAAAAGATATGATCATCATGAAGAGATATGATCATGAAAAGATATGATCATAATGAAAAGATATGATCATGAAAAGATATGATCATCATGAAAAGATATGATCATCCGCTTATAAGAAGTAGTGATACAAAGATTTTCAAGCTGACCATGGCGGTGGCCATATCAGAGGTCTGTGTATCTCCATTTTTATTAAGGACCCACTAGACCATGTCAACCTTCCAAGCAGTTTTAGAGGTAAACAAACTTGTACCATCAGATGGACTGACAAAAGATGACAGACAGAAGGACAGACAGACTACAGATGAAAGACCAATTCATGAGCCCTTCTTGTCTATGATCAGTAGAGCTGAAAATCAATAATCACCTGTAACCCTTGTTTATTTATTTAGAACATGTATGTGATGCAATATGACAATGATTGAAATGCATTTCTAGCATCTATGACATGCCTGTAGTTATAGTTAGCCTTTACTTAATGAACTCTGATTAAGCAGAAGTATGTTTCTTTAACGAAACATATAGAAATATACTAATACTGAAAAAGTGTTTAGATGGTTTTGTTTCATTCAAGATATTTATGATCCTTTTAACCTATTATGGCATTCTAAGCTGTCTTGTGTCATTGCATTCCAGTCAATTGAAATGTAGGCCAACTGAACTTAAAAACACATCCATTTGCTTCTGTTGGAAAATAGACATCAGAGTAGGTAAAGCAGGGATCATGCTGAGCTTCACCAATGTCACAAACTGCAATTTTTTTTCCCTTATTGGCAACAAAATATACCTTCTGGCAATCTTTTTGGCAATAACATTTTTGGCTGTTAAAAATTGTTTATACAGTCTTGGGTTTGGAGTTGAGAAATTTAAAGGCACTATGACAGGAAGCTGCAAACTTGGATATAAAATTGCAGTGGAATCTATTGTTTAATAAACAAATCCTATGTTCACATTCACAAACCACCCTAACAAGGCACTGCTATATCATAATCCATTTATGCTGATGTCTGGCCTTAGTACTGTGATGTAATATAACCTAAATAGTCATGCTACCTGACTAGCTACAATTGACCACCTCTGAAATTATGAATAGCAATTATTATGATCTACCAGAAAAATGTACCAGACAAAATAGTTTTGCTGAAACTGCAAAGAAAACTTATTACCTTTAAAGCATTGATCATTCCTTATATATATCATATGCAATTGAAGCAAAAAAATTCTGTCTCCATCAATGTTTTACAATTATTTGATTTTGCAGCAGCAATAATAAATGGTCATTTGTTTGGGCCTTCGAACTGCACCTTTAGCAGAACCTTCAATAACACATGAACCTTCATCAAAGCAAGCTGAGGACCTTTGATCAGAGAAAGTTGGAAACAAACTTAAATAAATGCAATTTTTATTTTCATAATAATTGGAACATATTTATTATGATATGAAAGTTTCCTGTTTGCTTACAATCACTACCAATGGCGGTTTAAAATCCCAATTAAAGTTCCAATATTTTCAAATACTATGTATCAGGCCATTGGTAAAATGAATATGGAGCATCTTACAAGAGTGTTAAAAGTTTTTAATTTGTTCACATGCTTTCATTTCCCTACAAATAGCCTCATCCCCTTGTAGCCTTGGCATCATGGTAGTTGTCTCTGGCTGACCCAAATCTAAGCAAATTTAAGTACATGTGCTTGTAGTATATAAACCGCTATACAGCCAGATGCAATTAGGATAATAAATATCAGAGTGAATTATTTCTAAAAACATTTCTTGACAAATGAGATATCGATCAAACGAGGACTACCATTTTTTATATATATGTTTTAGTTGTATTTTCTAATGGGATTTGACTCGTACATAAATTTTTTAACATATGATTGAATACTCAAATTTATGGATTTTTCATATGCATGTATGTTATTTAACATGTTGTGGAGTATACTATACAAATTAAGTTGTCAATATACAAGTGCATTTTAGAATCACCTGAATTGAATCAAAATTTCCATATTTTTTTCTTTGTAAATACTAATCACTTACAACAGGTCATTTCTTAAAAATTTCAGTTGTATGCAAAATTTCAATTTAATTTCAGCCCACCACCCTTATCTAAACAAGTGTCAATATGGGCAGTCGAGTGTGTGAGATATTCTTGAATCTTTGACTACTTGTTCCGATAACAACAGGCATATGAGAACACTACACCAGGCCTTTATTTGGGCAGTATGACGTAGCTTTAAAACATAAATAACACGTGATACGTCTAACATAGAACTACCATGACCGTAGCTTCAGTTGTGAAGAAGCTTGATTTGTTGAGGTACTTTAGCTGCGAATCCACAGAGAATCCAAGTTTCAGAAAAATAAAATTTAAAACGTACATTCAAGTTAAGTTAATACTGGTGAAATTTTCCAATTGTGTACATGAGGTGTATTTGTTTTGGAAAAGTAATAAACAACATACCCGAACAACATCAGCTGCTCAATATATTTGCAAATTGTTGATTTCTATAAGTTATGTACCTATGACAGCAGCAAATCTAGTGCATTAACAGTAGGATCTACTTACCATTTTCTTATCAAATATTTGCAGTTTGCTTTGACGGCGGTCTGGAAATAGTTTTAGACTGAATAGAAATGTCAGATTGTTGACGTAAACTGTAGATCTGTGGGCGCAGACATCTTTTAATTAGGATTCTGGGATATGTCAACTAATTAACATGTAAAGCACATAAAGCATGAAAATAAAACGGATTTATTCATTGCAAACCCTTCAAACCGGATATAACTCAAAAGTTTTGTTGTTTGATTTCGGTGTTGTCGTTGTTGTTGCTGTTATTTTAGGTTTAGTTTTGGGGGTGGTTTTTTTGCTTTTCTGGGTTTTCAGGGGAGTATATTTATAGTCAACAGTTTTCTCTGACTCTTTCCACCCCGTTTTAGATAGCTTGATGGTTATTCTAACAGAACTGTCCAAATCTAAAAATATCGGACTAGAGAGAGTATATTAAACGTCGACAAAGTAAATAGTATATGATGATAATCTAGGGCATTATACACCTATGTTAAACTGGGTACAAAGTTTATGGAGCATAAGCTGAATTTTAAATGGGAATGGCAGTCTGAGGCATAAGGGAAATTTAACATAGAAATAGCAATCTAGGCATAAAGGTAATTTAACATGGGAATGGCAATCTGGGGCATAAAGAAAATTTAACATGGGAATGGCAGTCTAGGGCACAAGGGAAATTTAACACGAATGGCAGTCTAGGGCACAAGGGAAATTTAACATGGGAATGTCAATCAAATACCCCCATTTCACATTTTGTATGTTTTGTTCGTATGTGTATGTTTGACTATCTTATCCATACTTATAAAATCACATCTAGATACATATACTAGCTTTCTTTGGTATATTCTCGTTGCTAGGTATCGACAATGAAATTTAAAAACATTTCCATTTTTCTTCACTTAAGTCGTTATTTCTCGAATATCTTCGCTAAAATTGATTTTTTGAGCTTATTCTGTTTTATTTTTTTGGTTTACATTTCTTTCACGAAATTGTGTGTACCTAATGTCCATGTTTTATATATGAACGAATACATACTCCTGTTCAACCGCTCCGGTGTCAGTAGTTAGAGCGTCCGCCTCGGATGCGAGAGGTCGGCGATTCGAATCCCGGCGGAATCATACCAAAGACGCACACATTGGTACTAACGGCTGCCTCGCATGACGCTCAGCATTAAGAGGCTAATGTTAGGACTGGTCGGCATGGTTTTAGGATAATGTTACTGAGTGGGACATCATGCTACACGACTGGCTCTGTGCTAGACATTACTATAAATTGTCACACTGCAGACATTGTAGCGATATGGCTGAAAAACTGCCTAAACTGCGTTAAATATCCAGCAAATACAAACACGCAAACACACACTGCTGTTAACGTATACAAAATTGGTCGAGGGTGGTTTATAAATTTCTGCAGTTATTTCAAAATACTGAATTCGGTTCACCCAATGCTACACGAGCTAAGTGTATACACTGAGAACAGTTCATACCTTTAGCTATCTGGACGTGAACTTCACCAAAATTAAGGAAATTATGAGCAAAGTGCATTTTCACAAAACAAGTTTTGTCAGAAAGCTGTCCACTTTTTGTAGCTTTCATGTTATCTCTTTTGATCTGTTACAGAGGTTTCTTTTCTTTGACGATGTACAAATTTTGGAAACCAATTACACCAGACCCAACACTGACCTCTTAATGTTGAGCAACAAGCGAAGCAGCTGTTAGTACCATTTTAATAAAATTCGGGTATGACTAGGCCGGAGTTCGAACACGCGACCTCCCGCATCCCAGGCAGAAGCTCAAACCACTAGGCCACCGGAGCGA